TGGTGGAGGGGTTTGAGCGATTTTGGGGTATCTGAAAGCGCCCACCAAGAGGTACTTATGGTTTGCCCCGAATATCGACCTCCCCTTCACTCTCATCGGCCCGCAGATGTCCAGGTGAAGCACAAACGGAAAAGGATGGCTCACAGCTCTGTGGGACCTTCCATTTGCCAAGAACTTTATGCACTCCCGGCAATCTTGCCTGAAAGGATAATGGTCTCGTTGTAGATGAATCTGCCATTCCTCGCGAACATTCTTGGAGAGTCGATGTAACTCATGCTCCTCATCCAGGCATATTTCTTCGTCTCCTTCAACTCCCCACCTTCCAGCCCAGGCCTTTATCGCCTTGGCGATTTCCTCCACCAACTTCGGTGCCCATCTTGCCAGGTCCTTCGAAGATGCCACTTGACTTGGTTGAAACATAGTCGCCTTTCTCCCATGCAAGTGCTCCAACGCTAGATTCGTGGCTATCGTTGTCGGTTTGACCGCTTGATGTCCCAGGCACCCTTGATCGAAGGTGTACATGCTCAAACCTGCAAACTCGAGGAATTTCTTCATGAAGTCCGAGTCCCACACCGAAGGTGCAACGTGGTAGAGGGGATGGTTCTCTTTCAAGTAGGTTCTCGGGGACGCCGGATGTTCAAGCAAAAACCCAGTTCCCGGAGGTCTTGTCCATGACGGTCTGGCAATCCAGCTTGAGTGCCTGCTCCTTTGTGCAACCGTGAACAAGACCATCATTCGGACTATCAGCCTCGTGTCTAGATCCACCTTAGCTTGATCCTTGTCTGACAAGCCCGCGATTCCCAGGAAGTTCTCAAACGATCTCAAAGGCTTCGGACCATCATCCAACTTGTGTCGCAAGATGCTTGCCGTTCGACACGGCGGTCCTCCAAGGATCTCTTCCAAACGCCCTGACAGCGCTGCCCACATCAACAGCTGGAAGATACTTCCCTGCTCGTCCATGTTGAAAGATCTACTGTCCTCCAAGTCGATTGAGATCACTACCATTCCATGGTGCCCTTCTAGCTTGCTGATGTCATCCTGAGGCCTTGTTTTTCCAGCATACACATGCACTACCCAACGCCTCGAGGCCCATAGTTGTTTTCGCCACTTCGATTCCATGGGAATTTCTTCAGCAATTTCCAACCATCCTTGTCTGTGACTGGAACTTCTTCTGCAATTTTTCCAATCAAGCTCATCGGCATGTCATTCAAGAACGGGAGTGTTTGCAGCAAGCCTGTGCACGATACTCTGCTTCCAGCGCTCCCAGCTTTGATCCAGGCCCACCTCCATTGCTGCCACCTGCTCCTCAAACGCATCCATCGCTGCTGTGAACGACAACAACCTCTTCTGTTCTAACTCGGAGATGATCCTCAAGCCCTCTGACTCCACCACCTCCGGGCAGTCATTTCGAACACGTACTCGCAGCTTTCCAAACTCTGGATGCTTTATCACGAGGCTTCTCGGGTTCCAGTGTACCTCACAGTTCAGCAAGCGCACCAATTTCCCCAATGGCAAGATTGCATCTGAGCCCTCTTCCCCAAGTAGCGTTCCACCCGGGTTCTGCTTGAGCTCTTTGCTTTGTCCTCCCGCCAAATTCACCTTGACCGTCCTGGCCCAGTCCAACTCGCCCTCTGATGCCCCACGATACGCATGTGTTGCTCCACTGTCTAGGAGAGCAAATCTCTCCTTGATCGGCTCCGCCTCCTTCAGAGCCATCAAATGTGTTCTCTTGAACTCATCCAACGGCTCCTCCTCCAACGAGATCGCCTGCAGTCGCCGCAGTTCATCGATTTGCTCTTGTAGCCGAAGCATCCTCAGCAACTCTTGAGGTTCCAGATTCGTCAATGACTGCAACGTAGGATTTGATGCCTTAGGCTGAGCCGTCATTGGAATGGAGGAGCTGCTCGTCGTGGTTGCCGACGCTGCTGCTATTGGGGGTGGCGCTGAGGTTGCAGTTGCTGAAGCCTCACCTCCTGTCAGCCCTGGCGGTTCATTTGGCGACGGAGGCACCGATGAGGAAGAAGCTGCTTGTCCTCTTAGCGCTGGCTGTCCCTTCTGCGATGGATCCTTCGGAGGTCCTGCCTTAGCAGTTGGAGAGGTCGGTGATTGCCCCGCTGTGCATGCTGCTGCCCTGTGTTTCTTCGAACCACATTTCCAACACCTATCCTTCTTGTCCGGCAGCTCCTTGAACTCATGCCCAAACTTGCACTCCTGGCCCTTCATGCATCCACTCTCTGAGGTGAAGAATTTGCAGGCCTTTGGTTTTGCTTGAGGGTTCTTGGGCGGCCTTTCGCTCGGTGACGCAGTAGGTGTTGTAAGCCCTCTCAGCTTCGGATTCGGAGACTCGGAGGAAGAAGCCGTCCCTTTTCCTCCCTTTCTAGCATCCCCACCTGTAGCCATCTGCTCCGCTTCTGACAACAAATGTTGATGCAGCTTCATCACTCCCTCCTGTGTTGGGACCTGATCGATCATCAAGTTGCTCCGTATCATCGAGGTCCGGAATTGCGCTTCCTGATTTGCATATAACAAGGACCTCGTCACATTCGTCAAACCAGCCACCAGAATGGAGGGATCTGGCGTGGACAAACCAATCACCTTGGCCCGCCGGAGCCATCGTTCCCATTCACGAAGCACCACTACCAATTCTGCTGGCGTAGTCACCGAAGTTGGCGTAGTCAGCTTTGAGAGGATCAACTGCCGTTCTCCTTCTCCTCCCGGCTGGTACAAGATAGTGAGCCTGAACATCGCTTGAATCACAGTTGTCTTTCGTGATGCGACCAGCTCCGACTTGACCTCTGTTGCCAGTGCTGCTAAAATCAGATGTGCTGCTCGTGCATGTACTCGTGAAAACTGTCCAGTGATCAGCTCCGGTGGTTCCTCAGGTTGCAGGGTGAGTCGCTCATAAGGAGTTGACCTGAGGTACTCTTGGTAGGCCCTGTTCACACACTCCATGATGCGAGCCCACCATTCGCCGCTCGAGTCGCTCAGATCTGCCATATACGTTTGCAGCAACGACACCCAGTCTTGATAATCTATCGGAGCAGATTCCGTTGGAGATGGTAGCGACGGTAGCACAGCCGATCCCGGTTTCACAATCTCTGGGGTTTGTTGGGATTGCGAACCTATCTGCTTCAGCATAGCCGCTTGTAACTGCTGCATGCCAGTGACCAAGACGTTCAATGGATCTGCCTTTGCCGTGGGTGCTGTCGCACTTTGCTGCTGCCTTACCCCCGACTCTGGCATTGGTCTGGAACTAGAAGGCATTCCCGACGGTGACGTAGTGCTCGGATGTGCATTATAGCCTCCGAGCGCCTTTTTTGTTGTGGTAGGCCACTCCTTCCTCCTACATGAGGATACTCTTCCCTTCCTTGACCTCCAAGCCCAGGAGAAGGATCACCTGCTTGACGAACCTCTGGCATTGATGGGAACAAGGAATTGCCTCCTGGTCCAGAAAGTCCAGCTAGATTGCGAGCATGAGCGCCTTCTTGTTGTGGTAGGCGGCCATCTCCTTCCTCCCGCTGCTCTCTCCCATCCATTGCCCTTCGCTTGTCCAGCTCTGCCGTCAACCTCCGCACCTCATCTTGCGAAGATTTCAGCATGCTCATCACACCCGCCATCTGCCGTCTGACCTCTTCCTGAACCACATCTGACGGAACATCTGAGGTACTTGCAGATTCACGCGGAACTTCACGTCGTGGGGGATGCAGCAAGGGAGCCTCTTGCTCCATGGCTTGCACCCTTTCCCATTGCTGCTGAGTCCACAAAGTCTCAGCTCGCGGTCTGCTTGGTGGCGAGGCTCGTTCCATCGGCGACGGACAAGGAGAAGGACACATCCATGCAGGTGGCGGCGTCTGGAAACCTGAAAAGGCCTCACCCCGTCTCTGAAATCCTTCCAACACTTCATGCTGTCTCCTCCTCATCCAGCGCATCATCGGATTCGCTGGCCCTGAGCTTGCCACTTCTCCAACATGTGCCGCACCAGAAAGTTGAGCCGCTAGCACATCTTCCGGAAACTGCACATGCTCTGTTGGTGGCAATTGCGAAGCGTTGATGATAGCATTCAAGGGCATGCCAGGAGCCATCTCCATCGTTGGCTCGTTGCCAGAACTACATCCAGCACTCACCATCGCTCCAATTGCCATCTCACTGCTGCTTACGGACCTTGCACCACCAACTATCGGAACCATTGCACCACTTGCCAAACCCACTGCTGAGCCCATTGTCCCATAAGTGGATCCACACGACTGACCTGGCGCTAAGGCCTCCGGTTGGGGTGCTCCCCTAGGCCCAGCTCGGCCCTCCCTCTCTGTGCCCACAGCTTCTCTGCCGCCAGATGTTCCATTGCACATTCCAGCATACTGAGGGCCGTGGGTTTCACCTTCGAGCGAAGTTCCAGCAGGATCAGCGTTAACTTGGGCGGTCATAACCTGATGAACAGAAACTTCTCGATTCTGTGCCGTGTCATCTTGCGCAGGGGATGCCATGCTGATCTTTGCTAGACCCTGAAATCAAACCCCCCGAACAAAACAACTCAACCTCAGACCTTCCTTCCTCAATGGGGTACCAACGGGACCTAAGGGCTTGAGGACTAAGGGCAACCGAAAAACCGGAAGACCCCTCCCAAACCCAACAACCCCTCACTTCCCCCAAGAAGGCCCAAACCCTTACAAGCCAGCGGTACACTTCTCGATTTGTGCACCTCATCGCTTGAGCCACGGTTGGCCGGAGTTCTGCAATTCACAACGATCGCACTTCGACCTGGGCTTAAGCTGTTCACATGGAGCTGCTTCTCCACTTCAGCAAAAACCTAAGGGAAATGACAGACAATCCGTCCAAAATGTATGGAAAGTAGGGTTTTTCCTAAAGAAAACCAAGAAAATCGACCAAAAAAGAATAAAAATGGCCAAAAAAAAAATAAAGACCCTCAAAAAAACTCCACCCATTCTGTCCAGTCTTTTTCTTTGTAAGTAACTCTCAAGCGCCCTCCTGTCGCTCGGTAGGCTTGCAGACGCTAAACAAGCGGATGACTGCCACCTCAGCCACGGCAGACGCTGTTGCCGCGTATTTGGAAGCACACCCGGCCGTCAACAGGGTCATGTACCCGACGCTCCCTTCACACCCAACGTACAGCCTCGCTCAGCAGTACCTCACTCGTGGAGGTGCTGCATTGCAAAATGGGGGGGGGAGGGGAGTATGCCACTTGCCAAATTACAGGCTATCATCTGAACATTCGGAAACATGTTTCAGATGTTTGCAGCCTGAGGTCCTGGTTGCATCTGGTTTCACGTGGGTGCAGCGAAGAAGGTGGTCATGAGCATCCTGGCACACGGGGGCGGTGGCCCTGAATGCAAAACCTCCTTCGGTGCATCCTCCGCTCGGGTCGCTCGGCTTGATGTCGTCGACTTGGCTAGGTGGCCAGCAGATGGATCAAGAAATATCAAGAATTGCCAGAGCATTGCAGGGAACCACTGTGCCAACCTGCTGTGAAGCCCACGTCAGGCAATCAGCAAAGCAACTCTATCTCTCACTCTCTCTCCCTCTTGTTTCTCAACCTGCATCTCTGCCCTCCCATGCACGAGAGGGTCTTGAAAGACAGCTACTGGAACACTCAGTCGCCAACCACTGCATGAACCGGGCAAGTCATGGCCTTCATCCAACAAAGCGATGCTTTGGAACTCTGGATCAAACTGATGTAAAAACGTCCACTTCTGAGGTTGACCCCTGGCCTCAGCAGCGGCCCTCAAATGCCTGGGAGTGGCCACGCAGCGAAAATCAGGAGCGTGTTCTGCCAAATACCTTGCCCCCTGTCCACCCCCAAGCCTGCTTCAGATGCATTTATCATGATGGTAAGTGGGAAAGCCCCCTCCATTGTTAAACCCTGAGTGCAGCGTCAGGGGCTGGAGGGGACTTGGCTTCGCCTGGCAGTGGGTTATGCGGAGCCTTTGGGGGAGACGAAGGCGGATGGGCCAGAGAGCTAAAGTCTGCTAAAGGTGTGAGGATCTATTGGGTCCACTCATGTCTTTCCTTCCCAAATCTGGTGCCAGGCGGCTTTGGACGTCCTGCTAGCCCAGCTGTTCCCAGCCAACACTACGGTGCTTTCGCAGCCAAAGCCAATGAAGGAAGCGGCCCTTTGGCAGATGAAGAGTTGCGGGTTAGTCCATGAAGCAATAACGTACAAGGCGCAAGTATTTGACGGGTTTGAGTCGGATATCCTGTGTCGAAAGCAAATGCACGGGCAATCAAAACCAGTGGCCCTTGAGAGCTCTTCATTTGGCGGCAGGAGTTTCTTAGTATGGTGGGTACCATCGCGCTCCTAAGTCTACAGCATGTTTATATAGGCGTCTCGCAGCTCCGATGCTCTTTTTATTGTTCTAGCGGTGGGTAAGTTGCCGACTCAGAAATTGCATATGCGTCTTGTGAACTTTGGCCGGGGCGGGTGAGAATCTGCTCTGCTGCAGCGCATCCGTGGCAAAAGTGTTGCTTGCTGGTTACGCAGGCAGGCAACATAGCCTGCCTCAGGCAGGCAACATAGCTGGCATGGATCTTGTTCATCCTTCTTTGCCAACTCTTCAGAAGAGCCAGGCAGAGACTCATGCCAACTTGATATTCCTGACGACCAACGGAGCAAGGGACGAAACCATGGGTCATATCACAGGATATGAGCCAGACAAAACCAATCAAACCAAGCAATCGACTGCCATTTTGCGCCATTCAGAACTGTGTCACCGCCCCTCGAAACTCAGGCCTTGCCGCAGCAAGAAGCAGCTCCGGGCCTGCGCTGGAAGCGTCGATAGCGATGCCAAGGACCTTCGTGGGACGCATGATGTTGGGCCCGGTGTCCCTGCGTCGCAGGCGCACCGGCGACTTGGAGTCTGACCCCTAAACCCATCTAAAGCCTCTACAAGCCTCTACGTCTCTGGCAACTCTCAGACTCGGATGGTCAGGACAGCTCACAGCTTGTTCGACTGTGCGAGCGCGGCCAGAGCAGCTGATATTGCCAGCTCGTCATGTACGCATAGGAGGCCCAGCTGTCAAAGACTAAAGCGCGTGTCCTGCGCAAGCTGCTTCTATCAGGCAACGATCCTAATGCGAGGGCATCTTCGAGCCGTTTGGATCCTCTTGTACAGTGTACAGAACCCCGCGGTAAGTACGCCTTCGTGTGAGTCTGAGAAGCTGCAACGCAGATTCGCTGCAACGAGCGTGGGCGTCAACATCACGCTCCAGCCTGGCTTCCACACAGGATGAAAACACTGACTCGTTGTTTATGCCCACCCTGAAAGCACGGCGTTGACGATGCGCTGACGTGTTTCTTCGATTTCCTGTGACCTTCCGCAATGTCTCGAAGTGCCCGAACTCGCCCATGTCACGTCCTTTGCCGGCCTGAGGCGTTTGTGGTCGAGGCCGGAGGCCTTGCTTTCAGCGTCATGGCCGCAGCCCCAGCGTGCAAGAAGTTCCCGGTCGTCGCGGCACGCTCGGCTTAACTTTTTGAGGCTGTTTAGAATGTATATGTATATATATATATATGTATGTATATATATATATATATATAGATTTCTCTCTCTCACTCTATATACATACATACATATAGACATATAGACATATTGACATATAGACATATTGTGAAGTCGACCAGCACTGGACTTGCACTAAGCCAATGCAATCACAGCCCGGTCACGCTGTTTTACGACTTCGCGAGTCCAAGCACTTGTGCAGCTACGCCTGAGTGCGTCCGGTCGGACCGCACAGCAACCTAGGAGCTACTGTACGACACTACCGTGCTCAAAGGCACAAGCTCAGTACTTGAGCCAAAACATTGGCATTGTTACGAATTGCAAAACTACACATGCAAGGGAAAACAACAAGCTGCACTAGCACTAAGCAAGCACTCCATGCATGCTTTGACCTGCTCACATTCGCCCCTCAGCCGAGGCTTCCGGCTCACCAAGAGCTCATAGTGCGTCAAGCACTTCAGCAACGCGGCAAATGGGGTAGGGTGAGGGTGTCGCGTGCGACTCTGGTAGAGCCCGCACATCATGAGCATTGGCATGCGGCTTGGGCGGCAGCCCGCACTACCGGACGAACGCACGACGACAGCAACCCTTCACGACCCTAAACCACCCCAAGTCGCGAGCTCTCACCTTTGTGCAGACAGGCGAGGCTCCAGAGTACTGGGCAGGTCTTTGTGCTGCTAGTGCAAAGCTATGGTACAAATGGTACACTGTACACTACCGGTCCTAAGCTACGGCTACGGCTACTCACCTATCCGGAACTACCCTACGGGCTACCAGACTCAGCGAGAGCCGCGCACATGGCTTGTGCCGCAGGCAATGCAGCTCACACGCGCTTCGGCGAGCGCATTGCCGCGACCAGGACACGGTCCGCAGCACCTGCAAAAGAGCACCCTCAGCACGAGGGGCCACAGGCAGGGCGGAGGAGAAAGGTGCGGGGAATGCAAAATGGGCAGGTTTCCAACCTGCCGCGGCTTTTCGCCCGCAGTCAAGCAAAAGAAAATGCAAAAGGTTGGCGAAGCAACGTGCCGTGCTGCAACGCCTGCTCTGATAATGCGTGGATGCTTACCACGCCGCGCCGACTGGCCGCAGCCTACTCGATACCCTGTGGAGCAGTGTTGGGGGCACGAGTGGCGTTGCCAGCAACGTTGGAACTACTGGCTCGCTCCAACTGAGGGCGCCTTGCGACCGCCTCATCGAGGGAGAATGCCTCAGCCGACACCCTCTGGAAATCCTCAATGTAGGACTGCGCGACCGGGTGCGTCTTGGGGACCTCAAGCCTAAGCCCTGCCTCCGCATTGGCTTTGCTGCTTGTGGTAAAATTGAGGCTCCCAATCAGCACCACCGCGCCATCAGGCCGCAGTAGGCAAAGGGCCTTGGCATGGTGAAGCCCTTGGATACCGGTACCTACTTTAGCCCCGCGGCCGTCGCGAGCATAGGCGTCGCGCACGGATGAGCCGCAACCCACCTTCACCTCGGCGCCTGCAGCCGCCAAGCGTTTCAACGCTTGCCACTGCAGCTTGGTGCGGTGGCATTGTCCCATGTCGGCGACAATCCGAACGCCTGCGCCCTTGCTAAGCGACGCTTCGATTGCCTCGATGCAGGATGGGCAATCTAAGCTGTACGCCCGGATGTAGATCACATCCTCTGCTGCTCCAGACCCAAGCAGCGTTTGGGCGGCCTGAACGTACGGCCCGCCCGCAAGGAATTCCGCTTCTTTGACTGGAGAACTCCTAGCGGGGACTGGGCCCTTGTTCCTCCGGCTGGGTGTGCGCGCCACAGTGGCAGTGGCGGCACGTTGCACGAAGCCGGACTGTGCGTGGGCTGCGCTCGCTCCATCTGCTGGGGCCGCGGCCAGGTCACGACCCGCGAGCCCCTGAAAGCAGGAGAGCCCGCGGCTCTTGGCCGCAAGTTGGGAGAAACATCCTTCACTGTTCCCCAAACCCAACACAACCTTACCCTTAGCCAGGGCTTCGGAGGCGGTACTCCGAATGGAGTCTGTGAGCGCAGGACCCGCGCCTCGCTGGGCCGCGTGCAAAAACCCTAGGGATCGAGCGGTGTCCATTGCGGCATCGCAATGCCCGCAACGTCCCTCTGCTAGGTAAGCACGACAGCCACAGGCAGCTGTCTCCTCCTTGAGGTGCACCCAAACTTTATGGGTCACCCCTTTCTTAGTGCTCGCGACCTCAAACGTCGCTTCAGAGCCAAGGAGTTGAGACAGCCGCGCCTCAGGGGCCGCGGTGTTGCCATGTCGCATATGCGCAATGCGATTGGCAACGGCACGACTCACGTACCACAGAACAGCGCCGCACAAGATCACTACTACCAGAGTGATGGCTGTTCCGGCGACCCACACGGTCCGCCTGGCCCCATGACCGATTTCCTCGACAACGTCGGCCGAAATTGTTGCAACCGCGTGCATGGAGTCCTCGACAACATGCACAGCCCCGCGGTGCAACTGCAAGGCAATCGGCGCCGACGCTGCAGCCGCCAGGCCCCACCAGCCGTTGATGTTCCCGTTGAGGGCGTGCATCAACCGATTGAGGAGCCCGCGACCCAGGAAAAAGGGGGTCCGCGGCGGAAGCGGAACACTTGGCGGCGGTCGGGCCGACCCGCACGGGAAGGCTGGGACCCAGCTTGTGCTTGGGCGGGGTTGGAGCGCGGCAACTATGCCCGCGGCGTAAGCGCCCCAGGCGTACCTGCCCCTCCCCTTGGGCTTGCCCTTGGCATCGGACTTGCCTCTGCCCTTCGGCTTGCCCTGGCCCTTGCCACGGGCGTCTGCCCAAGCACTCCAAGGGTCGCGGCCCTTGCCGCACGTCGCCTCTTCGCGACGTCGCTTGCCGCCCCTCTTCTTGTGTTTGTTTCTAAGAAGAGGTTGGATGGTTTCTTGGTCCATCGCACGATTGGCCAGAAGGATCTCGTACTCCAGCTCGTCTTGGCTGCTTTCGGAGCCAGAGTCCCTCTCTTCGCCACGCCGCGGATCAGGGATCCCGCGAGAGACGACCTCTGCCAAACGGAGAGGGGTGCTGCAGCGAAAGCACAGCTGCCTGAATGAAAGGTTCCATTCATAGCAGTTAGGGCACTGCCACCCTGCTATGCGGAGCGCCTCGCTGATGTGATCATCGCGCTCCGCCTTCTCCGCCTGGCGCCGCTCTCGCTTCTTGGCGCGCTCGGCCGCCTGCGCCTCCTCGGCCGCCTGGAGGGCTTCAGCGAGTTCCTCATCGCTGAGAAGCCTCGCGGCATCCGCCCGCGCTTGTTGTTCTTCAAGCTCTTCGGCAGAAAACCTCCGCCTCCATTGCTCTGGCGCGGTTTGAGGATCTACCTCCCACCACCCGATGTCGATCCCGTTGATCCATCGGCCGTCGCACGGGGCACCCGCATTCGGGCCGCCCGCGTGCGTGGTGAGGCACTGGTCCTCGGTAACCGGGTTGATGGCTTCGCAGAAGAAGCACCGCCAGCTGCCGTAGGGGTAAAAGCGGCCTTCGACGTAGGCTCGGTTGGCTGGGAGGGCGACATCGTCCGCCTCATCCGCGGTGCCTGCCTCCATCTCAACCGAGACCTCCTCGTCCTTGACAACCTCAGCTTCCTCCTCCTGTTCCTCCTTGACCAGGGGCTCTTTTGCTCCCGGCCAACGTTGAGGTGGGACTCAGTGCGAACCTCGGCGCGCATCAAAATGACGTCAAGGCTGTCCGCGGCTGGGTCGCCCGCGAAGAAGGAATCGATCTCCTGGGCATGGAGATCGTCAAGAGGCGTCACCAGGTCTGGCGAGTAATCCCGCTTGGAACGACGCTCTGCAAGGCGTTGCTGAACGTCGCTCGTCGGCGGCTCGAGGGCCCGCCCGCGCGGAGCGGCCTCCCGCGGAGGTCCATGCTCGGCCTCCTCCGTGGGCTCGCTCTTGGGCGTGGACCCTCCACCGCTACTCTCTGGAGCGGGATCCAGCTCGGGGTCATCGCGAAGCCACCCCGGTGGATGACTACCACCATAAATGTGGTGCGATCCGTCCTCAAGCTGGATTCGGTCCCCTCTCTTCAGGAGCGGGACCTTCGAGTGATCGTACCCGTTGGCTTTGTGGTACCGAATCACTCGGAGCATGGGCACCTCCCCATACTCACCGTCCTTTCCTCGGCGGAACAACCGTCCCCGCCAGTCTTGACGAAAAGGGTCAAGAGGTGCGGAGGGGCTGATCCCCAGGTTGGGCGGAAGAGAGGCGCCATGGCAGGCCGCCTGATGCAAGTGGTACTGCACCAGCGACTCAAAGGCCAGCCCGCATCCAGGAGCTGAGCATC